ATCAGTCAATCGTTATCTTGCTCTACAGATTTAGTCTTTTCTCTTCCAGTAACTTCCAACTCTTATAGTGGTTGCTTGCAGCCTTGTTGGAAGTGAAGATGTTAAAAAAAAAAAAAAAAAAATGTCTCTTTTACCATATCATAATTACTTTTTTTTATTTAGATTTACCTTACAATGCTTTTTCAGCATATTGAAGAACACAAAGGGGGCCCACGCAAACCTGGCGCAAAGTCTTTTTCCCCTTTTTTTTTAATAGGGAGAGTGGCCCCATGTTTAAAAGTGAAATATGAGGAGAGAAAAACAATACATACTTCTATAATTAGCATTTTTGTAGTTTATCTGCCAATTGTTAATTGATGATGTAGACTAGTCAAATGTTTTTTGTAAATTTTTTTTTTATATTTTAGTTTGTTATTTTGTATATATATATAGTAATTGTAAATAATAAAAATTTGTTTTGTTAAATAATGTTTTGTTTTAAAAAAATATTTTTTGATCTTCTTTATGTATAAGAGTTTGTATTTTCTATAAGAACTTGTATTGTTTTGTTTGTAAATAACTTTTGTTAAAAAGTTTTTTACAAACATTTTAACATAAAACAACAAGTTTTTAATATTTGATAAAATGCTCAACTGAAGTATTTCTCAATTTTTAATTTTTTGAAAAAATTTATTTTTAATGATTAAGAAACAGAATGAATGTAATCAATGAATGTAATAAATAAATGTAATCAATAAATGTAATCAACAAATGTCAATCAAGCAAAAAAAAAAATGCTATTGGATAACAATATTTTGAATGTTTTGAAAACTTTCTGTCATAAGTTTGTCTGAGATGTTCTTTAAATCTCTTGTAACATTAAACTGAGACCAAAAGTTGTCATCAATAACATTAAACTGAGACCAAAAGTTGTCATCAATAACATTAAACTAAGACCAAAAGTTGTCATCAATAACATTAAACTGAGGCCAAAAGTTGTCATCAATAACATTAAACTGAGACCAAAAGTTGTCATCAATTACACTAAACTGAGACCAAAAGTTGTCAACAATAACATTAAACTGAGACCATTGTCATCAATAACATTAAAGTGAGATCAAAAGTTGTCATCAATAACATTAAACTGAGACCAAAAGTTGTCATCAATAACATTCTAACAGATAAGTGCTAAACAGAGGAAAGTCAAAAGTTGTCATCAATAACATTCTAACAGATAAGTACTTCTAAAATTTTACTTTTGGCTTTTCTCTGCATAGCAGAGAAAAGCCAAAAGTAATATATATATATATATATATATATATATATATATATATATATATATATATATATATATATATATATATATATATAAAATCTATCAATGTAAAAAAAGATTTTTTATGATGTAAAGTCAGTCTAAACATATTGGTTTTCTTAGATTACTTAAAGCTAAGCAATTAGTAATAATATCATCAAATAGTTTCAATAGTGTAAGTGGAAACTCTGTTGACGAAATCTGAAATGTCATTGGCCTTGTTCAACTAATATCCTAAAATTAGTGATTTCTTTTATGTTTTTTAGTTCTTTATTTGTCATTGCCGTTTGTCAATCATTCGAGCTGCACCTTTCCAACAGGGGGGAACTGTGTGGTAGATAAAACCTTCAGAATATTTAGCATTGATATTAAAGCCTTTATCATACATTATACAAGAGAATTTTGGAATGTAATCTAAATAGTTGTTGCGATTTGTAATTTCTTTATCTGAAATTTAGCTTCTGTAAGCTTTAGAAATTATTTAAAGAAATTATTGATGAATTTGGAGCTACAGATACTAATGTTTTTATATTGTTGTGATGTTTGCATTCACTCCATATTAATTTCTGCAAGTCTAAATTTGTAGGTATTTCAATAAAAAACTCTGTTATATCTGAAATTTAGCACAAGTTTGAATAATTTAATTTCTTAAATCTGTTTGGCTATGTTTTATAACATCTTTACTTGAAACAAAAACCACGTGCTTTAAATATGAGCTAGAAGCTTTCACCCATGTAGAAAATATTGCACTGGCTGATCCTAAATATATATAAATAACTGATGTGATTGAAATTAATTTTTCATATAAATCTTTATTTTTTTCAATTTCGTGCTGAAGTTCTTTTTTTAAGTATCAATTTTCTTTTTTAATTCTTGATGCTCTATTATCAAACAACGCTTAACATTAAATTCCACATAATCTGATGAATCATTGTTTGAAAAAGTTGTATTGTTTACATATATTAATACAAGTTTTTGAGGATTGTAGCCTAAGTTTAATGAAGAATATTGATTTTTAAACAATAGAGCTGTCAAGAAAATTGTCTGAACATACTCTCTTTATATATTTCATGGTAAATAATTTATTATGTGATAATGTAGAAGTTAATTGATTAATTAGTTTTCTCCATTTTTTTCTGAGCTGTAGTTGTTTTTATATTGTTATATATCTGTGTGTGTGTTGATAATGGATAACAAATGCTTACTCATATTGTATTTACCAGTTTCACAAGTTAGAGCTTTGTTTAAAATTTTGTATTATACATAAATCATCTTTCCACATTTCTAGATTGTACTTGTTATTTTTACAATCAATGAGAGCGCATGTTTTTGATCTCTTGAAACTTCTATATGGTATGGGTTTAGCATTTACATATTATTTCATTGTAAACCTCTATAGTTTGTTGAAATGTTTGTTTACGTTTTTACTTCCATTTCTGAGCGCGCATAAATTTTATATCGGAACTGTGAAAAGGTGTATTAATTTAGAATAATTACGTAAGAAAAAGCCACAAAAATATAAGTTTTTTAAACTACACAATTGACTTGAGTTTAATGATGTAAGAAAAATTGTAAAACAATATTTGTAAGAATGTTTTAACTCTTTTATATTCCTACAATCTGTACTGTAAATGGACAATATTATAAATGAAATGAGGTAATAAATAAAAATGGTGATGAGAAAATCAAGACTTACACAAGACTTTACACAAAAAATCTTTAATAATTAGTTTCATACCATGCAGCTATTTAAATAAATATATAGTAAACAATATTAATAACATAATTTATATTAATCAATACATTATAAGTATAATACACAACATTATTTATGCAAAATACATAACAATAATTATGCAAAATTTGTGTCTGCTCTGAATGAAAAATTTTATTATTTATTTTACATAAAAAATAGCCACCATTCAAGAGAAAATACTGCAAGTGAATTAGAGGACACTCAATTCTAATTAAAAGATATTTTAAAAATTTGATGGACGGTCAAAGTTTTTTTTTTTTGTTTAAATTTTTACTTAGTAATAGTTCTTAATGAATCAGTTTTATTTATACAAAAATAACAAATAATGCTTGAAAATTAATGAATTTGTATTCCTTTAAAAATAATAATTTTAAATAAAATGCATTTTTAAATATTTTATAAAAATTGTTTTATATTTAATATGAAACAATTTTTATAAATTATTTTTAAAAGTTTAAACTATATAATACAAAAAGAAATCGTTTTGTGAAATGCTACATTAACAGTTACATATGTTACATAAAATGAATACATATATATCTTATACTGCTGAGTTAGGTGAGCATGATGACATCATACTGAAATAGCCTGCTGCGGGAGCTTCAATACATACATCGACTGACAAATAGCATGACTCGCAGTGGAGTGCTGCTACATCAATTCAGCTATTTAAGCTGTATGCTTAATAATAGGAAGACAATTGTTTTATGAAATACTCCTATAAAAAATGTTAATTAGCAATAATGTTGTTAACTCTTGTGCACAGCTGATAAAATGAAATACTTTATACAAAGAAGTTAAACATTTATGAATAATAATAATAATAATAATATATATATATATATATATATATATATATATATATATATATATATATATATATATATATATATATATATATATATATATATATAAACATTTTTGTCGCAAATTGCAATAAATGAATTAATTATTGCTGCAATTTGCAATAAATAAATGAATTATTTATAGTTAAATTTAAAATTACTAGTTGTGTGTTGGTACTTTTTTTTTCTATAATTCTTAATATATATATATATATATATATATATATATATATATATATATATATATATATAATATTTTATTTTAATATATATATATATATATATATATATATATATATATATATATATATATATATATATATATATAAACATTTTTTTTCTATAATTCTTAATATATATATATATATAAAACTTTTTTTTTCTATAATTCTTAATATATATATATATATATATATATATATAATATTTTATTTTAATATATATATATATATATATATATATATATATATATATATATATATATATATATATATATATATATATATATATATATATATATATATATATATCGAAAAAAAAATCTTCTTAGTTAAATAAATATTATAAATTAAAATATTATATATTCTTACGTTATTATTATTAAAATGAATTAATATTTTTATTAAAAATAAATTAAGAACTTCAATCATTTATAAAAAAAGGAATTTAACCACTAGTAAAAAATAATCTAAATAAGTGAAGCAAAAAAGTAAGATATAATTAACATTATAATATTCATCAATGAAGCGAATTTAAATAGCATAAACAATCAAACTATTTTGAACGCATTTCCGAAACTTAAACGATTTTATGTAATTTTAGTATATGCATTTTCCAAATCCTGATGTCATGTTTTTTTAAACTCTGATTTTTTTCAACCGGTCAACCATGACTGGCAAGAATTCATTTTGGGTAGTCAATTAGAAATTTTATTCATTTGAGCGGTCTTTGACAGGGCATTATTTTCCACGCTGATGATTATAATGTATAAAAAATGTATGATGATGATCATAATGCATAAAAAATGTATGATGATGCAATAACATAAAACAAAGTATTTAATTTAAAATAAAAATAAAAGAGCAAAAATTATAACTATTTTTACCTGTGACAAGAGCCATAACTGGCTGTATATATCGCTGCTCGCCAGTAGGTGGAATATTTAAAGTTATAACTGCCACATTACCAACACTTGTCCCTACCCATAATGCTGGAAAAACTTGGTTCCCTATCACCAAAATAAAAAAATAAAATAAAAATTCTAAAGTTTATTTAAGCTTAGAACAATAATATATATATTTTTAAATTAAAAGTTTACCATTTTTTTTTGTGTAGCTGTATGTAAAACACAAAGATTGTACCGATCCAGATGCAACATTTTCCTTAAACACCAAATCCTCGTGATCCTTGTTTGAATGTGTAGGGGGATTAGCAGAAGAATGTCTTTTTAATTTTGCATGGGTTTCAGAGACACTAGAGAACATTCTTGATGACCTTTCTCTTCTTTTTGGTACTGCTTGCACCATACCATTTGTTTGATCAAATGGTATGCTATTAGACTGACTAAGACTGACTTTTGGATTTGTAAAATCAGTCCAATCGCCAGCCACTATTTACAAAATACTTTTTCAAAATGAAATTTAAAAAGAACAGTTATAATAATAGAGAAATAATCAAGATTTTTTAAATCAACAGCAACAAAAACAACACAAAAAGGGAAATATATAATCTTACCTCCAAGATCGCTACTCATGACAACAATCACTAAACATTTTTGTTTGAAGTCAACAATTGAAACTCCCAATGTATTGCCAAATGCAACTCTATAACATCATTAAAATATCAGTATATGAAAAAAAATGTCAGTTCAAAAAAACTTAATAGCAACAGCAAAAAACTTGAGAAGTAACAAAGAACTTTTGAAAATGTTCAAACATCTAGTTATGCGTCAAATTGTTGAAGGAATGAGAGAAACTGTTAACAATTATAAATAAATAAAATTAACATTTAATATTAGTATTTAATAATAATTTAACTACTTTAATTAATTCAATTAATAAGTTAATAAAATAACTTTAATAATAATAACAACACCAAATTTTTTTTAGCTGCAACAAAATTTAATGTTTTTGTAAACCGAAAAAGAAAATATAAGAAATTTTCAAAGAATGAAACAGAAAAAAATAAGTTCATTTTTTTAGGTAACTTAAAAATTTTAATTTCAAAAAATTTAACAATTAAAAAAATTCAAATTAATTAAATTTCTTGTAAAAACTATTTTATTTATATTAATTAATTTAAAATTATATTTTATCAGCAAAAAAAAAAAAAAAAGAGAAAAAAAAAAAAAAAAAAATTTTTAACAACTTTTTTAACTTTTAATTTATATTCAAAGTGTCTTTAACTTACAATCCATATGCAGCACATTGTGAAATCGATGTTATACTGCACATTGGTTCAGTGGTTATCTGTTGAATAAATAACACAGGCTGCATACCAGCAGACCATTTAGTAGATGATGTTTTTACTGGTGGATGTAATGTATGCAAAGAATTTGAATGTAAACGTGTTTGCGATGGTGTACGAGTAAGGGAATCTTGCTCATTTATTACTAACGGATCAACTCCAGTTGTAAGAACATCTGATTCATGAGAAACATCAATCAAAAAGTTTACATCTAATTTCTACAAAAAAAAAAAAAAAAAAAATTATAACAAACTTAAATTTATTATAACTTCTTTTATTTAAAAGTGCTGTAGTCTGTTACTTTTTTAACTGTAGTCTGTTACTTTTGTAACTGTAGTCTGTGTTACTGTTGCTACATACCTTTTTTTTTAAGTTTTAAGAGAATACTTACAGCAGATAATTAAAAAAAATAAGAAAAAAAAATTTGCAAACTTGACAACTCTGGAAAAATATTTCATTACTATATTAATGTGTGATTATAATGCCAAAATTAATTTTTTATAGATTATAGGTTTAGAGTTACTGGTTTAATAATAGTAAACCATTGAAACTTACCCTTCAAAAAAAGTTGAACAAAGTGACCAAGGTTAAACATATGAAGTTACTGGTTTAATAGTTTAAGAGTTGCAAAAAAAAAAAGTTTCTTTGTGACTTTTCTTGGAATAAAAATATGAGCTGTTTTTATTCCAAAGTTTTTATTCTGAGGACTTTTCAAAGTCTCAGCCTCAACATTTAACACATTTTCTTTTTAATAGTATTAAATGTGAAAGTTTATACTAGAAATATATTTATTTATACTATTAACATATTTATACTTGATATAAATTTATTTATACTTATAACATTTTTATTTATATTTGAAACATATTTACTTATACTTAAAACATATTTGTTTATATTTATAACATACTTATTTATACTTGAATTATATTTATAAATTATTTATTTATACTTAAAACATATATATATATATATATATATATATTATATATATATATATATATATATATATATATATATATATATATATATCAGGGGCTATTCTAGATTGTTTTTGACAGCGCCAGCCATATTTACAACCCAAATTCACAAATTTAATTTCTTTTTTTGTGTGGCTAATACTGTTTGTTTTTTTTACATAAAAATGCCTACAAATGGCAAATTTTTTTACAACATGGGGGGTACTGCCGCCCAAATTATTTTTCTAGAATAGCCCCTGTATATATATATATATATATATATATATATATATATATATATATATATATATATATATATATATATATATATATATATATATATATATATTATATTATATAAGCAGGTCCAACTAGTTTTTTAATGAGTTTTTAGACCTTGTCTAGAAGAGAAAGAGTATCATTAGAAGAACCAGCATAAATATGACAACAGTAGTCCATACAGGGATTAATAAGAGATTTGTAGAGGTAGAAAATGAAATAAAGACTACAAAAATGGCAAGCACAATAAAGAGAATCAATTTTAGCAGATACTTACTTTGCATTTGATTGTATACATGGTTTCCATGAGAGGTCAGTAGTGAACAATAATCCAAGAAGATATAAACAATAGGACTCAGTGAGAGGGATGTTTATTAATATAGGAATGTTGAGAGTATTGCGATAGTTGTTCGCAGTAAATAACTGAGTTTTGTTAGAGTTGAAATTTACAAGCCACTGCAAGCCCCAATCTGTTACTGATGTGAGATCAGATTAAAGATTGGCTGCCTGTTTTAAGCTTGTTCGATCAAAAAGACAAGACATTTTTTTTATGAAAGGAGTATAAAGTTGAGTTGTCAGCAAATAGAGTCACTTTAGATGTAAGGTTGTCAGGAAATAAAACAGGATCAAGGATAGAACCTTGAGGTACCCCCAAGAAGAGTGTGGATGACTTTAGATATGTAAAATGCACATCACCTTTACCTTGCAATCTTTATCTAACACACAACCTTGCTGTCTCCACCTAACACACAATCTTTAAGTCACAACAGTTAACAAGGTCGAAATATTGATTGTCTGAAACTTTTTTCTGAAGGTTATTTGATTCAAGATGGGATGTTAGAAATTTGTTAATCAAAAACTTAAAAACATTTTTGTAAGACTATGAAAGGAATATTGTCTGGACCACAAGAGAAGAGTTTAATTAAATTAAACTTAAATTAATTTATTTATACATGAAACATATAACATATAATGTATATAATATAACTAATTTTCAGTTTTTTAATTAAGTTTAAAAAGCAAAAAAAAAAAAAAAAAGTTTTTTATTAGGTTTACTTTATTTTTCATTAATAAAAATACTTGACACATATCTACCAGTAACTAAGAATACTTAGGCAACATCTACTTTAGTAACTAAGAATACTTGCGCAACATCTACTTTAGTAATAATATTTTAAACATTATAAGCCACTTAAACAAACATATTATTTAAATCAGTGTGTGTGTGTGTCTAGACACACACACACACACACACACACACACATACACACACATATACATACGTGTATGCATAAAAAAGACTTACAGAAGTTTCAATGTTGTTCTCTTCAGCTGAATATGAAAAAGTTACCAGAAAATAACTTTGACACACAACAGTTAATATTCTATCATACACATCAAACTGGATATGCTGAATTGCAAATGGATCATCATAATCATTTGAAGACCTACTTCGTATACTAGTTCCACTAGATTGCCTTTTAATTCCAGGGTGTTCAAATAAATGTGATACATTTAATTTAAAGCAAAGAATGAGCATATCTATAAAAATAAACAAGACATAATGACACAATGATATATTTATATAAAATAAACAAGATAATTGACATTATGACAAAAAATCATTTAGATATATTGACACTAATCTATAAATAAACAAGACAACTGACATAATGACACAAATCCATGAAATTAAAAACAACTGACATAATGCTATAAATCAATAAAATAAAGAAGACAATTGACATAAGAGGTCGCCTTTAAACTACATCATGCTCTTTAGAAATGGAAGGGGGAGTTTTTAGTTTTGTGACGACTTGTACGGGACTTGTTACTAAAGAGTTAAGATGTTGTGACGAGGGTGAAGGGAGCAGTTAAAAATGAACAAAAATTGCATGACATAATTCATGGACAACCCCTAACGACAAAAATCTATAAAATAAACAAGATAACTGATACATAAGGACAAAACTATAAAAAATTTTAATTCTATAGTAATAAAAAAAAAATCTTGAAATTAACTGTATTTTTAAATAAATCTAGTGAAAGCAGATAAACAGTGTCGCTTAAGTTGTGTTTAGTTTTGTAACTTTTTGTGAATCAATGTTTTGAAATAACTATGCATATCAAAAAAGCTGACTTTTTGTTGGTGCACAGCTACTATATCAATATAATAAATGAAAAACTAAATATTATTAATAGCTATTAAATATAAAAAGAATTTTTAAAATAAAAAGTTTTTTATTTTTTAATTTAATTTTTTTTTATTACACGATATTAATAATTCAGAATAGAAAACATATTTTAGTTTTGTAATACATCACAGCATATTAGGATAAGGAAACATTAAATGATGAATGTATTTTTCTATCATATAAATAAAAAGAATTAAAATAAAAATTGTGTAGGAATATTATTTTTGTCTAAAAATATTTAACATAGCATCAGTATCACATAAAATTATTTATAATAAAAAGGCAAAAATATGCCTAAACAAAGATAGAATATATATATATATATATATATAATATATATATATATATATATATATATATATATATATATATATATATATATATATATATATATATATATATATATATATATATATTGTATCTTGGTCATAACCATGGCGGTTACGACCGTCAAAACAGAAAAAACATAAAAATTGTAAAACTTTAAACAAAAACTATGAAGCTCAACATATAATAAAATCAATATGTGCTAAATACACACACCAAAATATTTTTTTTTACCATGCCATTCACTGCATTAAGTCTGACAAAGTTGTTTTGTTCAGAAGTGGTAAAATTGAAGACTTTAATGCTGTAACTTTTAAATACTAAATTATATGATACTATTTCACATTTCTGGAAAGTTTCCATTTTCAGTTCATTTTTAATAGCTTAAAGAGTATCAAATGTTATGACCACCACTCTCGTGGAATTGCCCATTTGTGTGTGTGTGTGTGTGTGTGTGTGTGTGCGTGTGTGTGTGTGTATATATATATATATATATATATATATATACATATATATATATATACATATATATATATATATATATATATATATATATATATATATATATATATATATATATATATATTAAACATCTTCCAACAAGTCTGGTAGCATCTAGTGTGGAAGTTATTGGAAGAGAATAGATGAAGTTTATGAAGCAAGATAATGATTAACAGAGGACTTAAAAGATTGTAAATTATGTTAATCAGGAAAACAAGATGAATAGAGTGAATTCCAAAGATTTGATGTTTGTAGAAAAAAATTAGACAAATAAGAATTTTTGACGCATTTAAGATTTATAGAGATATAAAAATAAAGTCTGAAGTAAGAAAGTGGCGAGCACAATAAAAAGATGCAACCATAGTAGAGGCTAATTTTGGAATGGATTTGATATATGGTTTCTCAAAAAAAAGAAGCAAAAGTTAATCCTAGGAGACAAAGGGTAGAAGACTCTTTGAGTACATTACTTTCATAAATATAGATCTAGATTGTTGCAATAACTATTAGCTGAAAAAAAATTGAGTTTTATCTGAGTTAAAGTTCACCTGCCACTGAGAGCATGTTGTAGCAGAAGTGAGATCCTTTTCAAGCTCAAATGCCCTTTCCAACCAATCAGAGAGTGTTGGCTTCTTATCAAAACAAGAAAAAATGGTAGTATCATTAGTGAACTATGCCATCTTAGATGTGAGAATTTCTGGGAGATAGTTGATGTAAATTAAAAAAAGTTCATGATCAAGGTTATCAAGGATAGAACCTTGAGGAACCCCTGAAGTTATAGGAAATGAAGAAGAGTGCTGTCCATTGTGTGCAGGACAACTTTTATACTATGATTTGTAAGGAATGATTCAATAATCTTAAAGATGTTAAATATACATGATACATCATAGGAGGATACATCATAGGAAGAGAGACCAGCATGGAGAAAAACATGGCCTAAGATTAACAAAGACATTAGAAATGTCTTTGTTATATATTTGAGCGATACCTTAACATTTCCCCATCTATCTAATACACGATAAAACCTATTAGTTATTATGGTTAACAAATCGGCAGTAGAAAAAAAAAGATCAAAATCTATATTGATGATCAGAAAGTAAGTTATTAGATTCAAAATAAGAGATTAAGTGTAAGTTAAAGACTCAAAACCTTGCTTATGTAAGTATGAAGACTAATGGGATGGTAGCTAGATAAGTCTGATCACTCTCCAGAATTTTTAAAAATAGAAATAACAAATGCAGCTTTCCAGCAGGCTGGAAAGCAAGACTTTGATAAGCACTTGTTAAATAGTTTTGAAAGTTTAGTTGACAGCTCCAGAGAACATTTCTGCAAGACTATAACAGGTATGTTATCTGGACCACAAGCTGTAGAAGAGTCTAAGCCAGAAATCACTTTAGATACAGAAGCTGGAGTGATAGATATGAAAGTAATTGTTAGAATTGGAAATCGCAACAGCACAATAAGAGCATAACTATGGAGAATAGTGACGCTTGACTTGGAAACACCAAGAGGGAATAAAAGATTCTATGCCAGCCTGAATCCAAAAAGTTACATAAGAGGCTTATTTGTCAGCACAAAGACAAAAGATTTCTACCAAAGGACCATCACAAAGAAAATCATGAAATAAGTCCCAGTCTCAAGGTAGTTGTAAGAGTTGTAAAACCTAAGAAATTAAGCACTGACTAAGATCAGAAACAAAACATAAGTTGAGTAGGATCAGAAACAAAACATAAGTTGAGTTTTTAAATTCTAAATTTCAAAAACGTTTTTGTCTAATACTAATTTTAAAAAAAAAATACTAAAGTAATAAAGAAAATAATATTATACAAGATTTTTTTTTTGACAATAATAATATTTTATAGCCTTTTCATTAAAAAATTATTATTTTTTTATTCAATTTAAAAACATAATCAGAAAATTTAATGTTATTCTATTAAAGTTAAATGTTGTAATTTTCTGACCTATATATACACAGATAAACACACATACATATAAGCATATATGCATATATATATATATATATATATATAATATATATATATATATATATATATATATATATATATATATATACATATATATATACATATATATATATATATATATATACATATTTATATATACATATATATATATATATATATATATATATATATATATATATATATATATATATATATATATATACATATATATATATATATATATAAATATATATATATAAATATATATATATATATACATATATACATATTTATATATACATATATATAAATATATATATATATATATATATATATATATATATATATATATATATATATATATATATATATATATATATATATATATATATATATATATATATATATATATTAGGGTGGGTCAAAAAAATTTTTTCTTGTTACAGGCTCTAAACATTGCTAATAGTTATTATTGATATTATCAAATATGAGAATGATTGTGATAGACTAAAAGCGCGCAACTTTATTGGGAAAATTACCGGTACCCTAATATTTTAGAGAAAAAAAGTTTTTCAAAAGTAGGTCAACCTGGTACTCAAAAGAAGGAAAATTTTATAAAAAATTCGAAAATGATAATCGTTTTATAAAAATCATATTGAAAATGATAATCGTTTTATAAAAATCAAAATTATTATTAAAAAACATGTAAAAATGCACCTTTTTCACTTTTAGTTAAAAAACTATAGTTATTATGCAATAAAATATAAAATAAAAATTTTTATATGAAAAAATTATTATTTTTTAAATTTTTATAAAATTTTGCTTTATTTCAGTACCTACATCACATAATTTTGAAAAACCTTTTTTTTGAATAATAATAGGGCCTGCTAATTTTTGTAATTAGAGTTGCGGGTGGAAGACATTGTTCAATCCATAAAAGTAAATACTTTCCTAAATTAGTACATAAAAAAAACAACTTTCTAGACCATAGCCAGGTTAGCAACTCTAAAAAAAAATTTTATGAACCACCCTAATATATATATATATATATATATATATATATATATATATATATATATATATATATATATATATATATATATATATATATATATATATATATATATATATATATATATATATATATATATATATATATATATATATATATATATATATATATATATATATATATATATATGTATATATTTAAACAATTTTAAAATGTATTCTACAAAATAGAGTGATCAATGTTTTTAAAAGAACAGAGCAATTATAAAGTAGTAGAAAATCACTTAGCAAAAAATTTATTCCTTTAACACTGTATTTCATCAATTAAGACTCATCAGAAAACTGATGAGTCTTTTGATGAGTCGTTATTGATTATTTTTCTGATAATTCTTTATTGAGATTTTCTACTACTTTATATATGTGTGTGTGTGTATATATATATATATATATATATATATATATATATATATATATATATATATATATATATATATAGTGGTGTGTATAGCGGTAGTGGTAAAACACTCGCTTCATAAGCGAGAGGTTCCAAGTTTGATCCCCACCACGTCCCTAATAGTACCGCGCTCACTTGTTTCTCTGCGCAGCAGCCTTGTTCGCCAAGGTTCGTGTTTCAGAGTTATAGAATTGAGAGAGGATTATAACCTCTATTAAAAAGCCTCCTCGTCTGTAGTGGCCTTCTCAGCCTTGAGGAGGTGAATAACAATATATATATATATATATATATATATATATATATATATATATATATATATATATATATATATATATATATATATATATATATATACAGAGCATGGTTATTGAAAAGTTTTCTTCCATAAACTGTCATTATAAATCAAACATAAATTGGCAAAACCAAAAAACCTCTGCCGTTTAAATCAGCGAATGTATGAACACTTTGTTGCATGTTCTCCTTATATAAGCCAGTTGATATATACACACTGTATTTTTATTTATAAATGATATATACACACAGTGTTTTTATTTATAAATAAAAACACTGGAGTGTTAGGGTACAAGGCGTATATGTTATACAAATAGTGTAATTCATCAACTCACCAATAAAACAAAAATAAAAAATAAAAAAACAGTATAAAATGATAAAAAAAAAAAGTAATTTCAACTTGCAACTTAAATCATATATATATTAAATATTTAAATGAAAAAAATACGACTTTTTTATGGGACTTCAAGTTTCATGCCATTCAGCAATCAAGAGCTGTATTAAATCCAACAGAATACAACTCAAAAATATTTGCAGTACTTGAAGTGATGCGGGATATAGATGTTATGCCAGCCTGTCACCTTTTTATTAAGTATAAACTACATAGCAATAATTAGATGGTATTTTGAAAATACTGAAAACCATCCAGTTAAGTTTTTTTCTTTTCAAGCTTAATAAGTATCAAAAACAAAAAAGTTATGTATTTAATTAACTAAAAACTGTGACAATCTTTCAATTAAGAAGCATAAAATAAAATTGTTTATTTGCTATTTTTGTACTTGTCACAATTACTTCTGAAACAATGCATCCTGCCACAAAGCCTAACCCTAACCCTAACACTGACAATAGAAATAATTTGTAGAATAACAAACCTATATAATGAAATGCATGAATAACAAGACAGTTATTTTACTGATATATTGTTTATAATAAATATTTGTTTATAAAAAATATTGTTTACTATATTTTAGGCTAAAAATTAAAATAATTGAATCAAATTTTTTATAGAAAATGATCCATATTCTTAAAATTATCCTAAAAAAAGCAAAATTAAATAAATCTTAGCATCAGACTGACCAACAGGACACAAGGGGTTTAAAAAAAAAATTATCAATTTGCATCAATTTCTTGAAATGACATTTGTTCTTAAATATTTTGAAATAGATGAAAAAATATATAGTAATAGAAATATCAGCAACAAAGAAAGAGAAAACTTTGGGTTAGGTTCCATGCTTTCCGGAATCCAGATTACAAAGAGCCAATTTTCAGAGAAGAATGGAAGACACAAGTCCAAAGATTGCCACAAAGAAAATCAGAAAATGAATCCCAATCAACTCTAAGTTAGTAATAGGAAGTGCAATGATAGGGTGTGAGAGTGATTTAATATAGGGTGTGAGAGTGATTTAATGATAGGGTGTGAGAGTGATTTAATGATAGGGCGTGAGAGTGATTTAATGATAGGGTGTGAGAGTGATTTAATGATAGGGTGTGAGAGTGATTTAATGATAGAAAGTGAGAGTGATTTAATGATAGGGTGTGAGAGTGATTTAATGATAGGGTGTGAGAGTGATTTAATGATAGGGTGTGAGAGTGATTTAATGATAGGGTGTGAGAGTGATTTAATGATAGGGTGTGAGAGTGTTTTAATGATAGGGTGTGAGAGTGATTTAATGATAGGGTGTGAGAGTGATTTAATGATAGGGTGTGAGAGTGATTTAATGATAGGGTGTGAGAGTGATTTAATGATAGAATCTGATGTAGAAGTACAAAATAATAATTTTAGTAAAATCATTGATGATCTGAACCACATAAAGAAAACAAGGAAAAAAAAATTAGCACAAGCTATACCAGAAACAAGAAATAAATCAAGTGATAAGGGTTGTCCAGAAAGTCACAAAGTTAATTATTAAACTATTTGAGAAAGCAATTAAGACAAAAAAAATTTTAAGTTTTAGTGCCAGCAGGATCAATGCCACTCAGTGTGGTGAGCATTCAAATCAAAATCAAAAGATAATAAATTATCAAAGGATAATAGCCATTAACACAGAGTTTGGAAGTTAGGAACCTCAAAGTGCAGACTCACAAAAGACTCTACTTAGTCTTTTGTGAGTCTGGACTTTACAATAGGATTTAACAGATGGAAAGTTCAAAGAAACAAACAAATAATTTGATAGTAATGTTTAAATGATAAATACATGGGATTTTTTGTGCCCATGCATGATTAATCCTTTGTTGAAAGATTGATTATGGCTTTGTTATTTAAGGATTTGTTAAGCAAGATACTGGATATTTGTTGTGCAATAGACTTTATATGAAAAATATTACTATATACTTGGTAATTGTTGTGCAATAAAAAATACAAATCTTTTGACTAATGGATTTGTCAAAATCCACTTATTAGTCAACATTAGAAACATCATAAAATATTGACACAAAATAAATCAAAATCCAAAATATTGACACAAAATATCAAAGTAAGAACAACATCAGAACTTTAAGAGCAGCAGAAAATATGGATATCAAGGTTATTTTGGTTGATCTTCATTAAATTCTTCAAAGCATTTAAGACTTTTGGCCTCAAAGTCCTTTAGTAGGCTTTGAAATAACAAACAGATAAAGAACCCCAAAAAGTTCCTTATCTTAAATTTCTCTCAATCAGAATCTAAATCATAATCTTCAGAGAAACTTCTGCAAAAACTTCTACAACTTATATGTACAACAAACTTCTACAACTTATATGTACAACAAACTTCTACAACTTATATGTACAACAAACATAAATTTTAATCTAAAGTATTTTTTGAAACTTTTTTTCTCTTCAAGTCAAATATTAAAGCCAAAAAATCACAGTGTAGCATTGCTAACAAACTTATATTGATCTACTTGACTTTAAATTGTATAAACATAAAGAATCTGAAAATTTTAAATATGCATTAATATATAAATACATGTATTATAAAAATTTAAATATAAACTTATATTTAAAAAAAGAAACTTACTTGAGGTAGCATCCCAAAATTTTATGCTACCATCAGCATGTCTGAAATAAAGAATTGTTAACATAAAAGCTAATAAAATTTTTATTACAAACAAGTATAAAATAAAATCTGTTACCCTGTTATAATGAGAGAAGGTGCTTGGAAAACCTCTATATCCTGCCCACCTGTCAATGGCCAAACCTAAAAAGTGAAAATAAATTAGCATACTTTAAAAATAGTAAAAAAACAATGAGTCAAAAAACTTTTGAATTATGTTGTAAGTCTTTCCAGGAACAATGTGCAAATGAACAAAAAATAATTTTTTTATAAAACTTCAAAGTAATCATTTTTATGCCGTTCAACACTGTTTTAGATGCCAATGTATTTATGCAAATTTTATTAGACAAAAAAGACAAATTTGATCAAGAATTTTATCTTCTTTAAATATTGGGCACATTTTTCTTATTACTTCAGATGCCTCATAAAACACAAAAGTTTTAAATTTCTGATGTTTAATAAGTAAATAAAGTTTAAATTTTTATCTTCACTTAAAAATAGAATATACAAATATTCAATCAAATAAGACAGAGGTATATATCTAATGTATGCACAATTCTAGAAGAAAGATAAACAAATATGATTAAGTATAGATTTATTACAAAAAAAAACCTTTAACTTCATCATTACTGCTGTAAACAAAATCTCATGTCCTTAATTTAATACATGACCTAGCTTTAAAAGCTTGGGCTGAGTAGGGTGTAGAGAGGAGTGGTAGTGATTCTTTCATAGAGATTGTCAATGTTGTTAATAGAAAATAAAAAATAAGTTCTTAAAAAAAGCAGTTGTATATAAAGTTAATCAAGTGAAATAACTTAAAAGAAATATTTTTGCTTTTTTTTTCTTTCAAATATTTTACAAGAACAGTTCATTCATAAAACAACAGTTCATTCATAAAACAGTTAATTCATAGAACAGTTCATTCATAGAACAGTTTATACATAGAACAGTTTATTGCAAGTAAAAATTTGATCAACATAATAAAAGCATAAAAAATAGAAAACAAAAAAATTTAAATTGCTCATAGTTTTTCAACATTAATAAGAAAAAAAACTAATATAAGATACTGGCAGAAAAAAATCCTTTATTGATTTCATATTTTGTAAACATAACTTGCATAGATGAGTATTTGACTTTATGAAAATCTCGGAAAATTTTTTTTCTATGATAATCCCAGAAAATCACAGAAAGTTATTTTATTAAAAATTGATCGCAGTTAACTGACAAATGGAATTTTGATTATTTTAAAATGATATTTAGATTATTTAACTTTTTACAAAAAGGAATTTCTAATATTCGAAAAAGTTTGAATGAATTAAAAAGCAAAAAAAAAAAAAAAAAAATTGTTACGAAAATTGATCTCATAAAAATTTTAATTATAGAAAACATATTTGTTTAAATGTAAAGGTTGCCGTATGTAAAATTTTATGTAAAAATACATTAATTATTTTTCAAATTAATATCAAAAAACATCTGGGAATTTTTGGAAAAATTAAAGGTGTTTTAAGTGAATTTCCAGAATTCCGGGAATTTCCGGAAAAAAAACTCATCTATGAACTTGTTGTTTTTGGTAAAATAATTTTACATATAATTTGTTTTGCTCCTTGAGTTGCATCATTTTAATATATATAAAATTAATAATCATCCTAAAAGTACCAAAAACAGCAAAAAATATATATAAGAAAAAGAAAAAAAAGAGCACGCATAGCACACGCTGTTTTTAAAATATCTTATGCATTGATTTATAACTTTTCTAGAGTGCATTAAATTGTGCATCACCCTTCTTCTTCACCCTTCTTTATGAGAAGACTTATTGTGAAAATTGTAAACAAAACTCATTAACAAATAATTTAACCCTTTTGGAACTTCCAGCAAGATCTCTTGTAGTGTTTGAGATACAATGTAGAGCAGCAAGTAAATCATTAGGACATTCAGGATGAAATTGTATGCATGTTATAGGTGATTCATGGATATCAAAAGTAAAAGGAAGCTGAAACCAAGGTAGACTGAAAAAAATTAAAAAACAAACAAATTAAAGATCAAAATGTGAACAGTACCTGTACCAATATTGTAAAAATTACAGACTTATATAACATGTATATATATATATATATATATATATATATATATATATATATATATATATATATATATATATATATATAGACATACATAAATATATATACATATATATATATATATATATATATATATATATTATATATATATATATATATTTCAAATAGAGCGATATACATATATGTATTAATTAAGAGCGATATACATATATGTATTAATGAAGAAAAAACAACTTTTTCTATGGTACTTTAAGTTTCATGCCTATACGGCAATCATCAGCCACTAAATACAAAATCAAAAACAAAAAACGCGATAAAAACTACAAAATACTGTGTAGTAGGATCTTCACAAAAAACTTGGGAAACTTCGCTAAGACATACTTGATGGAAACCAAAGAAAAAACAAAATATTAGCTAATCACTGGTGTCAAAAAAAGATTTTGCATTTTGAAATCAACTCATTTCATTTATTTAATAAGTTATCACCTTTATATGTTAAAATAAGGAATTTTTCGAATAAGCAAAGATTGCAAAATTTTGACGAGGTG